GTGTGTGTGTATGTGTATGTGCCCGTGTCATGGCCCACGTGTGGAGTTAGAGGACAACTTGTGAGAGCTGATTCTCTTCTTCTACCACATGGGTCCTGGGGATAGAACTCAGGTCATCAGGCATGGTAGCAGGTATCTTTACTGCTGAGTCATCCTGCTGTTGGAACCTCATTTAATTTTATGTCTTATAGAGTTTATAATGAGTAAAAGATTATATAAGGGTAATAATTCATCTGTAAACCTAGAAATGTACAGCCAATTTTGAAAGAGATGTACCCTAGCTCAGAAAAATGTTATTGAATAGGTTAATGCTGTTGTAATGAAATGCTTCTTTTAATTAAAAAAAAAAAGAGAGACTATGGGGCTTTTAAGTGTTTGGATTTTTTAAGGACTGTGGGGTTTTTAAGGTTGTGCTGTCTTATGTTGTGATATTAATGTTAACATCATATCTCGGGGACAAGAATTGCAAAGCTTATGGTTTAATAGTGATGTGTTTGTGTGTCAAGTTGACAAGGGGTCAATTGTGCTGGATAGCTTTAGTGTCAACTTGACACACCTGGGTTGAGGGAGCCTCAATTGGGGAACTGCCTTCATTAGACTGGCCTGTGGCCATGTCCATGGGGCACCTTCTCGATTGTTGAGTGATGTGGGAGGGCCCAGCCCACTGTGGGTGGTGCCACCCCTGGGCAGGTGGCCCTGTGTTGCATCAGGGGCCAGGGGAGCAAGCCAGTAAGCAGTGTTCCTCCATGGCCTGTGCTCCAGCTCCTGCCTCCAGGTTCCTGCCCTGAGTTCCTACCTTGGGCTCCCTGATGAACTGTACCTGGGAGATGTAAGCCGAATAAACCTTTTCCTCCCCAACTTGGTATTGGTCAGAATATTTTGTTACAGCAATGAAGAAACAGACTAGGACAGCCAGGCAAAAAAAAGTCACTGAGATCATACTGAATACACTAAGCTCATCTGTCATAAATGCCTCCTTTCACTGAGCAATGACCTGGATAGATCAAACCACACAGTCTCTTACCAGGAAAAACATTCGGGGTTGCATGACTTTCCGAGACAGCTTCATCAGAGTTCCTTCTTTGAGAAAAACCTAATTCATCCAAGCAAACACCAGTTAGTCCTACCATCACCACACAAGGAAAATGTGCTGGATAGCTTTGGTGTCAACTTGACAACCTGGGTTGAGGGAGCCTCAGTTGGGGAATTGCCTTCATTGGACTGGCCTGTGGCCATGTCTGTGGGGCATCTTCTTGATTGATGAGTGATGTAGGAGGGCCCAGCCCACTGTGGGTAGTGTCATACCTGGGCAGGTGGGCCTGTGTTTCATAAAAAAAAGGCTGAGCAGGGGCCAGGGGAGCAAGCTAGTAAGCAGTGCTCCTCCATGGCCTGTGCTCCAGCTCCTGCTTCCGGGTTCCTGCCCTGAGTTGCTACCCTGGGCTCCCTGATGAACTGTGACCCAGGAGATGTAAGATAAAATAAACCCTTTCCTCCCCAAGTTGGTATTGGTCAGAGTATTTTGTCACAGCAATAGAGAAACAAACTAGGACAACATAGAATTTCTTTTTCAGCATTCTTCTCCCAGAACTCTTTTTGTGAGAGCCAAGAAGACTCTTTGTGACTTTTTTATAGTCATGGCTTCTTTTTAAGCTTACAAGCCATTTAGAAATCAGACACCCACGCCCAAAAGATTAAAAAGGAGCTGGGGATTTGCTCAGCTGGTAGAGTGCTTGATTGGCACACACAAAGACCTGGGTTTGATCCTCGGCATCTCAAAAGCCAGGTATGTGGTGATGTGCCTTCCTGTAATTGCAGTGCTCAAGAGATGGAGGCAGTGAGATCAGAAGTTCAAGGCTAGCCTGGGTTACTTGAAACCCTGTCTTGTAAAAGGGGGCTGGTGAGATGGCTTGGCAAATAAAGGCACTTGCTGCAAAGCCCCATAACCTCAGTTTGGTCCCTGGGACCCACTAGGTACAAGGAGGGAACTGACTCCAGGAAGCTGTCCTCTGACCTCCACACACATGTCATCGTAATCATATGCTGATACACATACATATACATGACATAAGTAAATACAATTTGTTTTCAACATTAAAAATGATAAGAGGGATGAAAACAAAAAATTATGAAGAAAAAAATTGGGCAAGCAAGTAGTTTCATAAATCTAGTATCATCCCCAGGGATACTATGTGAACAGACATGTGTACCTGATCCTGAGACACATCTAACATCCTGACAGTCACACTGCAATTTTCCTGAATTCATTCACCACTTCTGTGCTCTGTGAGGAGCATCAAAATACCATTTTTCTCTTTCGATTCTAATCATCTCTTACATTAAAGATTTTAAATGAAATTTCCTTCAGAGCTGTGTGAGGTCAGTTAGTATTACAGAATAAAACGACCCTATTACACCCTTTTATTGGAACTCCATGGGTCCTCTGCCTTCTCCTAATTGAATTAGACTTACATCATGTTTTGAATGGATAGAAAGATCCATATTAGGTCAATGAAGAGTAACATAACCTATTTCAAAATTAAAATAAAAAGTAGTTACAGATGGGGCCCAAATGCATTGTACTAAACCTGTTAAAAGGCAGTCTGAAACACTTACCCGTCCAGGTTGCACAATTTCATGGTGTCCACTTAAGCTGTATTGAATTTGCATAAGCTTCTGAAAGTTGTCCTACAGAAAGACAGTGCAGAGCATGTGACGGACAGCCTTCCAGGTTTCACAGTGTGCTAGCCACTGGTATCAAGATACTTACCCCTTGCTTCATGGTGTCATTGGCATGGTTAGCTACCTCTATAACAATAGCCAGGGCATCTAAAACAGGGAATAGAAAGGGAATTTGGTCATTACCACTGAAACAAATCATTTCCAACATAAAGCAAAATTCTAGATGACAAAACACTGCACAGCAGCCAAACTCGGGGGGAGAGGGGAGCTTGGGTGGCTGTATATAAGCAGAATTATAGGCAGTAAGACTCAGTGGAGGTATAAGCAAGGAAAATTGGACAAAAAACAATACTTATGAGCAAAATGGAGCCACAGAAAGACTCTAAATTTAGAGACCATAGATTAGATTTACCAATAGCACAGATGTCAGGGTTGTTTTGTGCTGAGGTGGGATTATTCTGCTGAGGGTTTATAAGCATAAGAACATTATTTTACCTGAAGCTAAGGTCTTCCCTAGTTTAAACTGTCTTGGGGAAGAAGGCTCATGAGGGAAAATGATTCTGATATAGCCAACAGGAAATTATGAGAAATAATTATTTAAGAGTCAGGGGCTGGGGGTGTGGCTTGATGATACAGCATGTACTTATTAGAATGCTTGAGGCCCTGGTTCAATTCTTAGTCCCAATAAACCAAAACATCCAAAAACCAAAAAAGCAAAACAAAACCATAAGAGGGCCAGAACTCAGCCTTCCTCTCTTAGTCTGATTTGGTGAGATATAAATTAAGAATGAGAGAATTGTGAGGCCCTGGGTTTCGGCCCCAGTAGGGAAAGAGGGAAGGGAAAGAAAAGAGAAACACCATAAGGAAGCACACCAGACCTTAGCATGGAAATTACTAACATCACTTTGTAAGCTGGGTTATTTAGCTTTATGGGACAAATTTTGTTTTATAATTTGTAATAGCCCTTTGCCTTTCACAAGTGTTTCTAAAAGCTCTAGCCACATCATCTTTGTAATTAGATATAAAGGAAAAGTCTTTTTTTTTCCTTTTTGAATTTGTGACCTGAGGGATGCAAAGGGAGGTAAGGGGTGGGAAGAGGCCAAGGGCTACTGGGGACTACTGGGAGGAACTGGGTTGGATGGGATGCAAAGGATCAGGAAGCAGTAGGGATTCTGGGCCTAGAGGTCAGTCCAGGAGTCTGCAGTTCCAAGACAAGAAATGGGCCAGTACCCAGGCTAGGAAGGGAGCTGGGATGAGGAATGAGCCTGGGGGAGTCAAGGTGCAGCAGGCCATGGGACCCACCCAGGAAAGATGCTAGCACCAGGAAGTGGGTGGCTGAGCCGCCCAGGGAAGCAAAGATAAGTGGTGGGTGAGACCAGGCCCAGAGGGCTTCTGGGAACTACTGGGAGGAACTGGGTTGGTCTGGATGCAAAAGATCAGGAAGCAGTGGTGGCTCTGGGCCAAGAGGTTAGCCACTAGAAGACTACAAGTTTGAATTAAGCTTATACTACATTGTGAAATCTTGTCTCTAAGAAAGGGGTGGTAGTAGTGGTGAGGGGTGGAAAGGTTCCACCTTTAAATAGTCCCAAAATATTGGCTGTTCTACATTTTATGCTTTTATGGGTTTGTTTATAGACAAGGTATCACTCTGTAGCTCAGCATGGTCTAGAACTTACTATAGAACCTAGGCTGGCCTCAAATTCTTGGCAACTTTCCTGTCTCAGCCTCCCAAGTACTGGGATTACAAATATATGTGACCATGCCTGGCTTAAGCTTTATCCTTGACTTGTATAGTTTAGTCACTTGATGGACTCAGATTTTCACGCTTGAAAGGATTCTACAAATCATCTGGTTCAATTGCTGGTTTTGAAAAATGAAGAAATGGACATCTACAGAATTTGAATACACCACAGTGGAGTGTTCGAGCACACAAGGGAGAAGCTTCCTGATCAGTCCAGGCCACTCTCAGGAGGCTGGTCCTTATGAAGGGTGACTCATGGCTCTGCAATCTCTCCTGCCTCCAGCAGTACACACCTTTAATCCCAGCACTCTGAAGGCAGAGACAGGTGCATCTCTGTGAGATCAAGGCCAGCCTGGTCTACATAGTGAGTTCCAGGTCAGCTGGGGTTGCAGGGAGACCTTGTCTCAAAGAAAAAGAACAAATATTTTTACTATAAAAACAATTTTTATACATTAGTTTTGTTCTCAGCATATTTTTACTTTTCAGGACTAAGTAAATATAACATAAAAGATTCTGTAACATAGAAAAATGCAAAAACTAATTACCTTGAGTGTCTCTAAAATCTCCAGAGTTTTCTAAGAGATTCTTTAAATAATCTAGAAAACAAATTATAGTATTTAGAACATGAAGCAATGACTTCCTTCAAATACTCATGTTTTTATTCAATACTTCATTTTTATTTTTAGTCCAACTTTTACTTCCTAGAATATGAAAGAACAAAGCCTAGAGATCAACTTCAAAGCAGGAGACAGAAACAGCTGCAATGTTCAGAGAGGTAAGATAAGAATCAAAAGGGCTTAATGTTACACACCTGTAATCTCAGCACTAAAGGGGTCGGGGCAGGAGGATCCAGTGTTTGAAGCCAGCCTGAATTACACAGTGAAACCTTGCCTTAAAACCATAAAAAGAAAAAGAGAAGGAATCATATTGTGACTAAGTAAAGCTCTTACCCGTCACCCAACTTCTTTGTGCCAGAACCAGGAACAGAGAGTCCAGCTCTCTAAATGCCTAATTTAATGTTTAGCCTAACATACGTGAAATACCTTAATCTCAAGATCTAATGCAAAATCCTAAGATTTGGGCATTTATTAATGCCTAAGATTTAAGGCATTAATAGACTGAAGGCCCAAGAGACAGATTTTTCAATTTAAGCATCTACCAATATTCAGAATACCAGGATAACAACTTTATGTGTTCTAAATTTGTAGTTTCCAAATAGGGGTAAATTTGCCCTTAGAGGACATTTAGCAATGTCTAGAGACATTTTTGGTTGTCATAACTAAAGGCAATGGATGCTACCAGCATCTGATGACTAGGTTAGGGATGTTGCTAAACATCCTATGATACAGTCGCATAACAAATGATGCCAAAATGTCAATGTGGCTAAGGCTGAGGAATCCTAAACTAGATGAAGATGGTCTGTTAATAAACAATGTGATTCTTACAATATGGAAAAAGGTATGTTTAACAAATCTTTAACCCAAGGAATGTCACAGGCATTCAGGCATCATTTACTTCTCTGTTGAGGAATGCTAAATGTCCCCTATTATCTGGACTCTGAGCCAAACAAATCTCCTCCTACCCCAGCCACCTTGTTTTTAATAAACTATATTTTTAGTGATTGAAAGTGACAATGACAGTAAGTTAAAAAGGGAAAAAAAATACAGATGTTCTGAGTGTGTGTGTGTGTGTGTGTGTGTGTGTGTGTGTGTTTTGCTGGGGATGGAACCAGGACCCAGGATCTGGGTCTACCACTGAATTATACCCGCAGCCCTCAAATGATATTTTTCAAGGCTTTTCTTAAATTGTTCCTCTCTTATAAAACTTTTCATTTGAAAGAACTGTTTTCTCCTTGAACAGGATATTACATGACAGTTACTCCATGACTTCTGTCATTTGCAGGTCTCTCTTTCTCTTTGCCTCCCTGCCTCCCTCCCTCCCCTCTCTTCCTCCCTCCTCCTCTCTCTCAACAAGTTCTTAGCCAAGGGCTTTGCACACAGGAGACAGTGAATATGTAATGAAATTTAGAATTTTTTTCTTAAGTTGGAGACAGGACCCAGGTTCTTACATGTATGGAGCTACTCTTTGGAATTCCAACTTTAGTTTAGAGGCAGGATTATGTCTTAGTTTTGGTAAAAGGTAAAGGCTAAAATCAATTCTAATGGCAGTAGGAGTGCAGAAAATGAGAAAAAAGTCATATTTGAAAAATGAATATATTATTAGTCCCAAACTCTATTTAGCAGTATCAGGGAACAGATAATATTTCAGTCTGTAGATTTATGATGCCATGATAACTGACACATAGGGAAACTTGATATCAGTGCCAGTTTTCTAGTGCACTGATACATACACATCCTCCTGCTGAAACTTCTTGTCTCTAAGACAGTGATCTAACATCCCATGTGAGTCTGGACATGCATGTTATAAATAGCACTGGCCCTCAACTTGGTGAGGTGTGTATATCACCAAATCAAGTGTCCCTGAAGCATGACAAAGGTTCCATCTTACCAGGGAAGGTCACTAGAAATTTAGATTTTAGAGTAATCTGAACACACAGGTTGGAGGGCCAAATATGTAAGAAAAAAAATTGCTTAAACACTATGCTTAGCCTTCCCAAGATTAAAAAAAAAAAGTTTATTAAGCCACCTGTGGTAGATCACATCTATAGCTCTAGAACTTTAAGGGGCTGAGGCAGTAAACTGCCTGAAGCCTGAAGACAGCTTGAACTACATAGTGAGTTTCAGGCCAGCCTGGAATAGAGAGGGAGACCCCAAAACAAAACAAGTCTTTCTCACTTTGACTCCACTCAGAATGCATTCTATATATAAGCCATGTTATGGCTAAAACCACCAGGATTGAGGTCCCACATAGTCGTCATGCCTATGATCTGAGTACTTGAGAGGCTGAAGTGAAAGAATGGTAAATTCAAGGCTAGTCTGGGCTATTGTGAGCCCTTGTCTCAAAAAACAAAGCAAGTGTTAGTGTTGAAACAAACTTTACCCTTCTTTTTAAAACATTTATTTATTGTGTGTATGGCAGGCAGTGGGGGGTGGGGTGGTTGTTCCTGCATGCATGGTGCTCATGTGGAAGTCAGAGGACAACTTAAGGGGAGCTGGTTTTCTCCTTCCACCATGTGGGTTTGGGATTAAACTACAGTAGTCAGGCTTGGAAACAAGAACTTTCACTCCTTGAGCCATCTCACTAGCCCAAACTTCCTGGTCTTAATAGGTACTTCTAATGCTCAAGTGATTTTCATCAAGCTTTTAGTTGCCTGAAGAATCTGGACAGGAAAGCAGATTTCCTTAAATATGAGACTCATGACAAGGTCTTGTTTTCAATTCTTGTTCCTCTACAAAAGTATATTATACAAATACAGACATTTCTTTACCAAGAAAAGCTACTAGAAGATGTGCATATTATGAAACCTTGACCTAGAATCGTTTTCCTGAGCCTGATAAGCTTCTAAATTGCATTTTTGGTCTGTTTGGACGGTTTGGTTTTGGCTTGTGGTCAGATTAGGTTGCTAGCCTATAAACGGGAGCTCTTAGGAACATGGTTTGAATACATTTGTTGAGCAGAAAATGCAAAAGAAGTTGCAACACCATTACCAATTAAGGAAGAAATGGAGTAAGCTCAGCCTTCTGCCACATTTTTAAAAGGTGCTAATGGTCTCTACAATTCAACTTTATGACTTAGCTGTCTACCCACCCATCCACAGATACATGCCTCTAGGGCATGTTGATACAAAATATCCTCTTAACAACCTTTACCTTTTCAAAGAGGACAGGACAAACAGTTATGAATCAGCAGATCTTGGCTGCAGCATGAGGATGACTGATGAGCCTCTGAGTTAGGTGAGAAACCACCTCTTGCCAGGGACTAGCCATACCCAAGGTGAAACCAGGAAAGGAAGCCAGAGAGACATGCCTGCATACTTTTGGAAATTAGTTACCACCTACCATTTAGGACCTAGCCCTAGAGAAGTGTTCAGAGTAATAATGGGGGAAACTCACTTCAGTTTACCAGGTTAGATTTGTAGTATCATGATTTTCCTACCTCTGCATAGACAAATTATTATTTAAAGAGCAGTTAATATTTTATGTCTCAAAAGGCAATGAGATTATTATATTTTTTTCCTGTCTTTCTGAGACAGGGTCTCACTATGCTGCTCTTGGCTGGCACAGAATTTGTTATGTAGACCAAGCTGAGCTCAAACTCACAGAGATCTGCCCACCTAGTACACTGCCCCTCCACCCCAGTCCCCTGGAATTAAAGGCACATGCTACCATGCCCAGCTAGATTTTTTTTTTTAATCAAAGAAAGAAAAGAACCAGGGGTGGTGGCACATGCCTATGATCTCAGAACTTGGGAGGTGAAGGCATGAGGATCAGGAGTTCAACATTTTGTGTCAAAAGAAAAAAAAAGGCAGATAGAAAAAGATGGTGTATGGAAGCCATAAATGCACTCTTAGACCACCAGGTGGCATCATGGACTAACAGAAGTTAATTAACTCCTGCTTCATGTCCTTTAATGGGAGTAACACAGATTCAGTTGAAGCTCACCATGTGCAACTCTTAGGGATATGCAAGTTACCTTCCTATTCATATAAGGTCCAGGATAAAGGATGGAGCCCCTAAACTACTACATCTTAGCGTTCTAAAATTTCTATGGTAGGGCTCTGAGTAAGCCTTACCACTCCTAGAACCTACTCAGAAGTACTTCAGCTAAACTTTACTAAACTTAAGTCACGGGTGGTGGGGGTCTGGGGCTCTCTGCAGTCAAGCATCCTGATTCCCAGACTATGTACTGAGAACAGTTGGTGGCAGAGTCCACAGGAAATGAACACATTGAAGGAGTCACATTCCAGAGTCAAGTGCTTTGAATAGGAGGACACGGCTTGCTTTGTATTATCCAAGTTTCTTCTTTCCTCCATAAATATGGAGTGATCCTAGCCACAGATACAGAATTACAGGATCCTGAGAAAAATATCTAAGCAAAAAGCATTTTACAAAGCTTCAAAGTTTGAAACAAGCAATTTAAAATTACCCTGGCTCTTTGAACAAAGACTAGACTATTTGAAATATCAAAACAGAGACGTAAGTGTCAAGTTACATGACTGACATCTTCAAGGCAGCTTGGTGAAGTACTCAAGAGCCCTTCCTAAAATCAGAAGGTTGAAATTCTTACTCTCTTCGTCCAGTAATGTCTAGCCAAGGGATATTTTTTAAAGCATTTTATTTTTATTTCATCTATTCATTTTTATGGTGATGGAGATCAAACCTAGGGCCTACTACTGAGGGTCACCTGTCCCAACAGTAGTACTTGGGGATATGTGAAAGAATTATGCTGGCCAGCTTTGGTGGTACATCCCAGCTACTCAGGAGACTGAAGCAGCAGGATTACAAGACTGAGAAAAAATAGGAAGACCCTGTCTGGAGGAGAAGCAATTAAATTGGACCACACTGTAATGATTCTAGTTTTAAATATTGTGAAGAATACTTAATTCTAAAATGTTTATGAGAAATTTGGTAAGTTAAATAATAATGGATAAAACTTAAACCACGAACATTTCTCTAAAATAATATGCAAGATTTTT